GATTTGAGCCTACGGAGAGCGAATTTCGGAGGGTCTTGAAGAGGACAGCGACCTTCATCGACTCCGTGTATATTGTTAACCCTGAAGTCTAACCTCTCCACGCAGCAGCCCCAACCCCTCGCAGCCCACCCGGGCGGCAGCGCGTCGGCCACCTCCGCAGTGCACACTACCTCCTCGACATCCTCGCGGATGTTCAGCATGGGCGGGAAGGAGTCCTTTGCAGCAGCGTCCTTGGTAGTTGCGGTTGACGGTCACTGCGGACAGGGGAGCAGCGGGTAGTGCCGACCGATGACCGCGTCCGGGTCAGCATCGGAACGAGCGTGAGAACGGGTAGCGGCAGCGCCCGGCGACGAAGTAATTATTGAGTATTGAATTCAATATTCGTTCATTACTTAGAATATAGTGACAGACAAACGATGTTCGCGGAGCTCCTCGCGACGCATAAGTATTGCATTTATTTGGTGCAATTAATAGTCGTTCAATCTAAGTAATATATATTAAGACATCTGAGAGAGAGAGAGAGAGATAGGGAGGAGGAGCGATTCGCGGTGGCGGGGCCGGGACGGGGGTAACGAGTGGCAACATGGCGGCACGCCCTCACCTGCAGGTCTGAGTACGTGTACGGGTAGCAGTAGGCGAAGTAGCAGGTGTCTTTGTTGTGGTCGAACTTGAAGGTGAAGCTCAGCGAATAGCAGCTCTTTCCGTCTTCCCCGCTGCGGAAAAGGACGGGTGTTACCGTGGCGATGGAGACGCGATGCACGCGCGCGCAAGTTCAATTCAACCTGCACAGCTCTATGGGCTAGAAATTCTAAATTATGTCTGCGTCTATTTACTGTGAGTGGGGGGAGGTCGAAAGTTGTGTGCAGGGAGGGGGGATTGGGAAAATTCCAATGGTCAATGTAAATGTTCCGATGGTACTTTATTTCGTAACTCGGATCGATGGGCCGCCGTAGCCGAGATGTTATGCCGCTGATGTGGTGAGAAATTATCATCACAAAACACTGTTCTGTGCTAGTATAAACGAACCCACGTACACCGATCGTGCTATTCGTCATGTACGTCACACGCTTGACACACATAGGCTAACAACCGTAACAACAGGAAGATTCGCAACCGCCGCATTTGCTAGGTGCTCTCGCTAGGGGGCGCCTGCGCATGGGTGCTCTCGCTAAGTGGCGCTGGCGTGCAGGCACTCACAACAGGTTGTTCTTGTAGTAGTTGATGTCGTTGCCCGTCCGCCTCCAGCCGATCTTGGCCTTCGCCGCGTCGCGCTCCGAGTAGAACAGTGGCTTCATGCCCTCCTCGTACAGGCTCCCTGCCTGCGAGACGAGGAGAGGATGCGTTACCGCGGCAACGCGTTGGCGGCGTCGGACGCGTCAGACAGTGGCAACGGCTGGACGCATCTCCGTGGCACAGCCGGACGCGTTACCATGGCAACGTCGGACGTGATGCCACGGCACGGCCGAACAGGTTACCACGGCAACGTCGGACGCACGCATTATTTACGAGCGATTTTTGAGGAGGCGCGCTGAATTATTGACGGCGTTATTACGTGTAATGCCGCCGCGCTACCAGTTTATAACCCCGCTGATTGCGCCCGGCGCGCGATTGCCCGTGTTGCCGGCGATCGCGTGACCGCGAATAATTGATGAGCAACGCGGGGGGTTACTGCTTCACTCTCCCCTGCCCCCTCCTCCTCCTCCGCACGAGCGCGATGGAGGAGGAGGAAGGGAGGGGGGAGTCGCGGCTACGTTCCATCGCACAAAACCTTTTTTAATCTCGTATAAATTTATCACTCCGGTATATTCCGGCGGTGACATAGGAGAGGGATGGTTACTGCTTCATTCGCCGCCCCGACTCTCCCCTCCCCCTCCTCCTCCCCCGCACGAGCGCATGGGAAGAGGAGGGGGAGGGGGGAGTCGCGGCTGCGGGGTACTCTCGCACAAAACTCTTTTAATCTTCTTTAAATAAGTTCATTCGCTTGGTAGAATAATATAAATAACAAAGTTAATTTTTACTCAACCGTGCAAGTTTGAAACGTACCGCTGACGTTTCGCCTCCTGTCAGGAAGCTTTCTCAAAGCAATTTTACAATTACATTTTACAATTACAAGCTCTTTTAATATTGTACGAATTATCACGCCACCCAGCGGGGACGTGGCAGAGGGGGGATCGCGCGTCGGGCAGACTATAATTCGCAAACGTTAATTATAAAACTGACAAGTGATAATTCATTAACGTTCCCGTGACGGCGACGTAGGAGATTGGGGATTGAATAATTTCATCGGATCTCTATGGTTCGCATAAAAATAAAGTGTTTCTCTCAGTTAGATCCAATATAAGTTATAAATACTTACACTGACGAAAATTTCGTCCATCTCTCCAATAGACTTCCTCAGGTCTGATGTTTCTGAACTGTTTTGGAAACTGGACGAAAATTTCGTCAGTGTAAGTATTTATAACTTATATTGGATCTAACTGAGATAAACTTCATTTTTATATAAGAGGGGGGTCGCGAGCGAGGCGTACCTTCGCCATGTTGGCTATCGTGAATCGGTAGACTGGTCCAGCTCGTACGTTCGTCACGCGGAAGTAGAACCACTGCCGGTGCCGGTTCGTGTACATGTCCATCGACAGCTTCAGCTCATACTCAAACTCCGATCTGCGAACAACGATCACGCGGCGAAAAGTTACGTATGTGCGTCGTACGAGTTTGTTTTCGGCCTTTCTGCGTAACTCTGTCTATATACATACGTCTGCCCCTCTACACAACTTGGACCCCATACATAACGCTGTCCCTCTATAATAATTCTGTCTCTCTACATAATTCTGTCTCTCTACATAACTCCATCTCTCTACATAACTCTGTCTCTCTACATAATTCTGTCTCTCCATAACTCTGTCTCTCTACATAACTCTGTCTCTCTCTACGTGATTCTCTCTCTATAATAACTCGGTCTCTCTACATAACTCTGTCTCGATACAAAACTCCGTCCCACTACATCAACACTGTTCCTCTATAGAGGTTGCTACTTTTATGCACCACTCCATACATCTGCCACACACGCACACGCACACGCACACGCACGCACGCGCACGCGCACGCGCACGCACACGCACACGCACACACACGCACACGCACACGCGCACACACACACGCATCTATACAGCCCTCAACCCACGCCCCCCGCGCGTACATTTGCTCTGCCGTCGCCAGATTTCCCGACTCGAATCGCGATTCGAATACGAGGGTGGCGTCGGTGGGTCCCTGCAGCTTCACGACAACGGGCAGGCAGCCATGCTTCGAGCCGCCAACGGCCGACTTGAGGAACTGAAGCAGTGAAGCCAAACTTTCGCACATAAAGCATCGTTCCTTACCCGAGCTTGTATGTTTTAACGGGAGAATGGAGAATGCCTAACTTAAGCAACGTTCCTTACATGAGCCGGCATGTTCATAACAGAAGAAGGAACGATAAACTTAATCATCGTTTCTTATGTGAGCTTACAGAAGGAAAGCTTAAATTGACTATGTCACGAATTTTCTATGGTAAAATTTGTAAAATTTTTGTTGCCATTTTTTTACATTAAAAGTAAGAACTAACGGGACTAAACATATCGTCAAATTCTTACCTGATAAGATTGTTACTCAACTAGTTAAAAATCCAAAAAACCTGGACAATTTGATATTATGTTCCTGACATTAATTGCCTGCTATGGGCTATGTATGAGTCACGAGTGTATGTTCACATCAAACAATATAGTAAAATAGGAAGAATAATGCAGCTATTTAACCATAAAAAAGTGAACAGAATTACTTATATTTTGTGGAAAAGTGGAAATATTTTTTTAACTTTTACTATTTACGGTGACGTAATCACTTTAACTTAAGCACCATTCCTTACAGAATTGTGTATGTTTGTTTATAACAGAAGAAGGAATGAATACCAAAGGTGGCGCCCCCTGGCGGTGTACTCACGAAACCGGCCGTCGTCGGCGCGTAGTCGAACACGAGACGCCGGGCCACTTCCTGCGGCTTGTAGATGGGCGCCATCTCTGTGCCCGCCCGCTCGTAGAAGGGCTCAGGCTTGGGTGGGACGTACTCGATCAGCTTGACGGGATTCTTGAGCACCTGACACTCTGTCGGCCTGCGAGAGCGAGAAAGAGAGAGAGAGGGGGGAAAGAGAAGGAGAAAGAGAGAAAGAGAGTGAGAGAGTGGGAGAGAGAGGGGGGGGCGAGAGAGCAAGAGAGGGAGAGCGAGATAGCCGAGGAGAGGTGGTGAGAGAGAGAGAGAGAGAGAAAGAAGAGAGAGAGAGGAGAGAGAGAGAGTAATCAATAATTTATAAATTTTATTATTATTGATATTAAAAAAATAAATTATTGTGAATTAATGTTGAAACTTGAATGAAACACATTGATCGAAAAGGCCATTGTACAATTATTATAAAACGTTTTCTTTGCTTTGTTTTTATTGTTACTGCTGGAGACATCGATTCACCATTGAAAACAGAAAAAACCACCCATTTCAACACTGCACAACACGTGAAAGTACACGAACTAGCCAATGAATCATGGTGTACGTGTGTTGGAAGAGTACAACACACCAAAAACCCCCAAAACTTAAGAAATATTCAAAGTGTACCATAACGATACACGCTAAAGCTGCCTATATACTATATATATATATATATATATAGTATATATAATATATATATATTATTATATTATATATATATATATATATATATGTATTTATGTATTCATTTATTTACTCTCATGCATATATATATGCATATGTACGTTTATCAGTAGCAACGAGTCTACGGCCCGAGTAACGCACGTGCATGCATCTAGGGGGCGCTAGCAGCGTCCTGCTGCCTCCCCCACCGCGCTCCATCACTCACCATCGTGTCGCCTGCTGCGAGCCGAGCTCGCGCGAGAATGAGTAGAGGTTTCGTGGCGCCCTGAGCTGCGGCACGAGGCGACCTTCCTCGGTAGCGAAGGTCACCTGAGTCGTGCTTGGCAGCGCCCCCCCGGCCGCCTCCTCCTCCTCGTCCGGCAGCCCTGCGTGGGCGAACAACGGCCGTTTATAGGTGGCGCCGGCCACGCGATTCTTGTGACGCACGCAGCGTCGGACAGCGGGGAACGCGAGTCATCGTCACTCTCCGGTGGCAAGTTTCTAACAATTACGGTGCGTGGTCATGTTTGACCTTTATGCTATCATGTTTGACCTTTACGCTGTCATGTTTGACCTTTATGCTGTCATGTTTGACCTTTACGCTGTCATGTTTGATCTTTATGCTGTCATGTTTGACCTTTACTCTGTCATGTTTGGCCTTTCTGCTGTCATATTTGATCTTCTCATGTATTCACACTCTTCTTTCTTATAAGTCACTAACTACATATCTCTATAGGCACTCTATCTTACACTTGTTAATCAACTCCCCAATTATCCCCAGAGAGGACGACCGATTAGGTAGATGTGAATCATCATGGAAGGTCTTCACACGTTGCCGTTACACGGTTCAATCATGAGAGAGTGCAAAGGTAATATTAGTGCTATATAGACTCAACTATGAATTACGCAACTGCCCTGACTGCTCGTTACTCGTACATAATGACCAATAATGACATTTTCGAACCTAAAAGATTAGTTGGTTGACCCAAGCACAGTGTAGGATCTCATGCAATGATATTATGCACTTGTATTTTTTTCGATGTGCTTGAAATTAAACTTACAAATGCACATTTGTAAGCACTTGGAATCAAACTCCAAGCAGCCTGCTTATGCTGTGTAATCACCTCACTGTGCGCCATTTTATTTATCAACAGATTAATTATTTAGCAATGTGCACGATAATATTAAGCCTTTAAAATTTTCTTAAAACGTTTATTTATTAATAAGAAATTATTCGCTATCGCAACGTATGTTTTTTGGGGGATGAAAATGTACCAATTACGACCGTTACTAGAGATTCTACTGTATACATGTATAATAATATAGCAGAGTACAATCAAACCTGGGTTAGCAGACACCTCTATAGAACGGACACCTGTCTATAAAGGACACTTATGGAATTTCCCTCAAGTGATAGTTATACAGTGAAACCGTCTCTATGGAATGGACGCACATCTAAAGTGATACTTTTCGTGTTTCCCTCAAGCAACCGTTGTGTACAAGCTTAGTACATGTGCGCTGTTATACGAGTACTGTTATACATGCGTCGTACATATACCAACAACATGGCGTATGTTCCCTCATCTTACCTCCATCCAGCTGTCGATGTCCGAAGTCGCTGTCTTCAGTGTTGATGCTGCTGCAGCTGTCGCTATGCTGTAGGTATCGGCTATTTCCTGTCGATGCAAACGCATCTCCGTCTCTCGTCTCGCTCAACTGAGAACCAGAGCTGGGGGTGGAGAATCATAAAGCTCACAGTTAAACTCAGTGCCTACAGTTGCCGCTCTGTGTGTTTTGACTCACACAAAAACATTCCATACAATGAAATTTCCTTCTATCATTATCTGTGTTATGTGCCTGAAATGTGTCATTATTATGGTAACCCTGCCTGTGTGGACCTGCGCCCCACTAGATAAAGAAAGGGTAACACAGGCAGGGCTAGTGTGCGTATGTATGTGAGTTTTCGTCGATACTGTAATGTAGGTGCATGGCTAGTTAGCACATTTATGAGATAACCCAACGATGTATTACGTGCGAACATTCAACCAGGTATTGCGAAAACACAAATTCCTTCGTCATTTTCATGATGTTGCATGACAATGCAAAATTCCTGCACGGGAGAACTACTGCAAACGGAGCTTGATCAAAGTTGAACATGGCAAGCACCATGGCTATTGCATTAATAAATTAATTATCCTATTAAAGAGTGGCCTGCGTGTACTGGTCGATGCTATATAAACAATTATACGACCCCTGTCAATTCGCAAATCTCAGATACGACTCCCCCCTGCTACCACCGTAAATAAAAATGTCAAATAATCAAATTCCAATCGACGCTATTTACTTTAATCAATGCTCAGAGTCATTACCAGAACCAACGCTAATTACCGGCGCATAGCTACGCGTTCGCTGCTAAATTATTGATCGATCGCAGCGGCAATCTACATTGCGAGAGCTAATTCGAACCCGAACCCCCCACACCCTCAAAACCCGACGGGTTCAGTTGTAAATTCCATCGGAGTGTAAAATCCGCGATCGCGCGGTGCGAGAGCGGGGGGGGGGAGGCACTCACTCACCGGCTCTCTCCTCCGTCAAGCGTGCCCCGCCGCTGCTGGAGGCTCGCGTCGCTCAGGCTGCCACCTAAAATCATCGCATCACTCTGTACTTGTCGCTGTGTAGGGACCGCCGGCGGCGCGGGGCAGGACGAACGACGGGCGCAGCTAGCGAGCTGATCCGAATTCCGCTGCATGAGTGACGACGCGTCGCGCGCGGGCGGGCGGATCGAGTATCGAGAGGGAACAAGCGCGCTTGCTCGCTCGCGTGAGAGAGAGCCAGAGAGAAGAAACGACTGGCCACCTCCTCCGTAGCACACGCGTGCGCACCGTCGGTCACGTGAATAATGAATGGATGGGCGGTGGCAAAAACGCTGATGGGGGAATCGCAATCAGGGAGCATAAATCTGGACGTGCTGATTACTCTGGGAAGATGTGCCCAGGTAGGAACGAGCGTGTACTGACACCCGTCAAGTCCCCCTACCTCGACGGTACTCCTCGAAACCGCAATCAGTTGGTTTTCACTTATAACTCCAAAAAATTAGAGAAAAATTAAATTATATTGCCAAAAATCTCGTCTCCCTTCTTGAAAAAATCCACTTAACAATAATTAATTGGTAGTTAAAAGAAAAGGGAGAAAATCTACAGTCGTGAGGGCTGCTTCTAGAATACTTCATCGCAGACGTTAATTATTCAATGCTTGGAACATTTCGTTACAGTAATACGTCACTACCACTATGTGGGTAAGCATTTGGGTCATGGCTATCGGCAGAAGTCTGTAGAGTAGCACAAAGAAATAAGCCAGAAAAATTGCAAAGTTATGCAACATGCAATCTATCATAACGTCTAATGCCCTTTGGTATACAAAAGTCATTTGCTAGACAGACACTTTACCTGTGTAATATCCATAATATTGGAGATGCTTGCGCATAAAACTCTCATATGGGTTCTGCAAACAAATAATGTTGTAAATTAATAAGAAATAAATAATTAAGTGCAGTAGCAATGTAACTGCCACCACCACTGCCACTACTGTTCCCACTACTTCTACCACTACCACTGATACTACGATTGCTTTCAATACCACTCAGGACTGCTACCAGTACCACTAAAGCAAATATCCCAATGTACAGGCCATGGGGAACAGGTTAACTGCATATTTATTTGAAACTGCCCATGACCAAGAACACTAGAAAATAAAACTTCATGGCTTGTCTACTACAAATCTCATTCTAACGGGAATGTAAGAAGGCGAGTTGAAGGCTCCATTACACAAACACATTTTATATTTCGGCGCATTCAATCTATTTAGAAATGGGTTTTATTTCAGACTCCTTTTATGCGAGTAAGTTTATGCTGGGACTTGAACTTGTGGCATTTTTAACTGATAAGCAATTGACCACTACTTCTCCTTTCGATGCAGGGGAGTATATAGTAGGTCATTATTAAATAAAAATGGTTCTTACTTGTTCCGTCAGACCTTGTCCTAAAAAAGACCTCAAATCTGCCGTTGGCTCCATTGACTTTTAATCTTTACTATCCAAAAGAGGATAGGTTTGCATTCACAGACGAACAAATGTGCAGTGTCAGTAGCATTGCTACAATCTGTGCCATATGTAATTTCATTGTGCTTGACCTAAACTGTGGTACGTGTAAACAAACTTTAGTTAGAAAAAGGGTTAAAGTAGGTTGAAATGTGAATGCTAATCATAAGATCATCATACATAATTTAGCCAGACAAAAGCTTTTAATGTCACAAGTAAGGCCAATGAAAAAGATGGTGGTTTACTGATTTTATCCTCAAGGCCAAGGGCACATTTTAATGATTATGATTGGAGTCATATTCAGTTAGTGGGCTAGGTAATGATAATGGTGATTGGTATATACATAGGGTATATAGGTCCCAATAGCAATGTAGGATTAAACTAAATTAGTGTACTGCATGTTCTCTCACATGTGATGCCCTGCCTATACTCACACTCACAGTAATGCTCATAGGGTCTATGTCCCCCAGGGTACTGCCGGAACGTACCCTGGGTACGGTCCGGTATACTGAAACGTACCCTAGTAACTATCTAGCTGATATGGTTAGGGTTAGGGTTAGGGTTACGGTTAGGGAGTAGGTTTAAGCAACTCCCTAGACTCGTTAATGGAGTAGGCGAGGTACGGTCCGGCATAGTAGTATTTAGTACCAGGGTCTGTTCCCGTATACCGGACCATACCCAGGGTACGTTCCGGCAGCACCCTGGGGGACATAGACCCTCTAAGCCACAGTAACGCTCATACTCGTAGGGTCTATGTTCCTCTGACCTCTGTTTGACCTGGCTCAATAGCTATTTCTGACTAACCCTAACCCTATATATATTATATTATATATATATATATATATATATATATATATATATTAGTCAGAAATAGCTAAGCGAGCCAGATCAAACACTGAAACAGAGGTCAGGTGTACATAGACCTTATCTGCCACAGTAACAGGCCCTGTACGTGTAACTGTGACTGTGAGTGTATTATCCTCCTAGTTTGGGACACCGCGGCCCTCCCTTTTGCAAACGGGCTAAACTACCCCGGTGTACTAAATTAGGACTTGGCCCTGGCCTAAGTACTCGTAACTCAGTACTGTGGTCTGTACCGAGAAGTAGAACTAGCTGAACGTGACAGTCACACTCACAGTGTGAGTGTCGCCCGGCGATGACGTCGACGCCGATATCATCATGATCATTGTTTATACGCTCAATGATTTCTTTTTTTCAATATTTAATAGAATATAGTAGAGGCAAAAATCCATTTGTTTAAATTCTACACTAAATGGCTGGACGTGCAACAGGTTAACTCAGGTTAGCGCTAAGCCGACGCTCGCTCGTTATTGTTGACTGTAGCAACACTCCGGAAATAGATTACGAGGTTATGCCTGTTTACCGGAAACGATGGAATACTATGTAAAATGATTGTTATGTAAATAATATTATCATAAAGACTGTTTTTTATATGCCTTGGTTTTTTACTGGTGTTATATATAAATGTTTTAAATTTTAGATCTGTTATTGTGTTAAAAATATGACTAGTTACGGTGCGGTCCTGTTTCACTCTCTTTCGCCATTGCTGTTGTGATTCCGATAGCGTTGGAAAAATGGTTAGAGGAAGCCTATTATATCTCAGCCTATTCACTATTAAATCGAACTTAAAAATTACCTGGCATAATTGCCATTCTCTCTTTAACGAGATTGTTTATGTAATTCTCGTAGATGCTGGTTATTTTTAAACTGGTGTTCATAAGTGTAACTACGCGATTTCTTCCGTTGTGATTGTTTACATACATCGCGTGTGAGGTGTTTGACAATGTCACTTAGTTTGTTAATGTGTTTACTGAAGGTTGCTATTGCGACACATTATTGAATGGTTCTATATCATGTATATGGCATCAATTCTTTCCTTACAGGCTGCCCACAAAACTTTTCGAATTAAGCGAGTGCTTGCCAAAAAGCAAAAGGAGAACCGACCCATCCCCCAGTGGGTACGGATGAAGACTGGAAATAAGATCAGGTTGTTATAAAATCAAAGTGGATGCGTGTACTGTAGTAGCTGAGGAGTCTGTTTACATTGTTTTAAATTGTTTACATGGCTGCAAGTGATTGGATTCTACTGTACGTCTATAGCCACACCAGGCGATTAGTACAGCTGAGAGGGTCTATGTCCCCCAGGGTACTGCCGGAACGTACCCTGGTACTAAGTACTACTATCTAATATGCCGGACCGTACCTCACCTACTCCACTAACGAGTCTAGGGAGTCGCCTACGCCTACTCCCTAACCTTAACACTAACCCTAACCATATCAGCTAGATACCGTAGTTACCAGGGTACGTTCCGGTATACCGGACCGTACCCAAGGTACGTTCCGGCAGTACCCTGGGTGACATAGACGCTATTAGCTCCAAGAAACGGTATTGCTAGGGTTACAATACCGTTTCAAACCTTGGCTGCAGCTAAACACGTAGTTGCCTTATATTCCAAGTATCGCCAAAGAACACCACACATGTGATATACCAAATGAATCGGTAAACGTCCACCTTCTTGTAACCATCAGTGCGCTACGATGCGCTGGGTACTTACGGGGTTACAGCGACTTTTTGAGACGAATGCAACAACATTTATGAATTAGCCGCCATGTTTGCTATCATTCCGACTGTGACTAAAATCCGCAATGGATCGAACAAGCGAAATTAAACGATCTGCGGTCCTCATGTAAACCACCCCAACATCCGAGAACATGTCATCTAAGGTTTTTACAAATGGCCCAGACATTTGTGAACATCGTTTCACTTGCTTTGGTGTGTAATTGCCGTGAGAGCCATCGTAATAATACTATTTCTGTAGTATTTTCTAGCGAGTCTTTTCCGTTTCGGGTTTTCCGTGCCTTGCTAAACATGGCGGGTAAAGCTGATTTGAAAGTTGATATGCTGTGAGAATTAGCAGATTATACCGTGAATTAAGAGATACATTCTAGTTCTAGATTAGAAGCAGGACAACTGTGAGTTAACGTTCATATTTTAAACAAGGCAAGTCAAAGATGGTAATGGAATAGTTTTATTTGAGATATACAGAGTTATTCATCTAGATCTGCAGAGGTGATAGGTTTTTTGTATGGAAGGGTGTCAGGCTGTATAGACAATCCGTCGCACAGCCTGGTCGGGCTAAGACGCTATGAGCATTAGTACAGTACCAGACAAGACAAGATTCAGTGTTTCGCATAGTGTGATGGCTATCTGGATTTCACAAGCACTATTGTGGTTTAGTTAGTGAATAGTGGCAGTGCCTGTTATAGCAGTGATGATTTATCCATTCCTGTCGAGCTTTTACCCTCTTGTTCTTGATCTTGATAATGACTAATGTAATTTTGCTTCATTGTGCTTGAAATTGGTTAGAGCAGATATTTTGTACTTATTCCTGTACCTGACTGCACATTCGTGCTTTATTAAGTCCTAATATGAAAAATTCAAGTATTAATATCAACTGGGTTTCGCTCGCAGATACAATGCCAAGCGCCGACACTGGAGGAGAACGAAGCTGAAGTTGTAAGCGCAGCTCGACACAAGGAATTAAGATGCAACTGGTATAATCTTTGCATCAGGAGTCGAACTTCAGTTATCAGGACCTCGATCTTATGTGCACAGACTGTGGCGTCGTGACATGACGGGACAACCGCAGCCAGTGGACGACATGCTATTTACTTTCTTGGAACTTGTGCTAAGAGTGAATGTTGGCTATGGATTCCAAATTATTAAATAAATGTGTCTCATGTGACTGTGGAATATCTGTTTTCTTATTCCTTATGTATGGTTTATGTATCGTAATGTGTTCTATGGCTATCACGTGTGAATCTTGTTTCATATGTGCAGAGCATTCTAACTTGTTTTAGTTCTTACTGTTACACATACGAAATATAGTAATGCATACATTATAATATACAGTTCGTACATTTATTTATGTCATCATTTATACAATTGCATTTATGATGGATGACACATGAGATATTTCTACATAGATTCATTCGCATATCGCATCATACATTGTTCTTATTCGGCGTTGATCTAGATACTTCTGAAAGACATGGTATTGGTGCTAATATGTGGTTAGTTTAGTTTATTTGTTAAATTGACAAATTCATGAATGCCATTAACAAAACATGTACACATAGATGTCGTTACGTGTAAATGGCGCTTGGTGAGTTTGGTCAAGTTCACAGCCTGGGTTCATATTCCTTTATCGTGCTTAGCCATTCTATGTCATGGTGGGAAAACGACCTCATGGTGACCTATGGGTTGCCCGCAAAATTGTACGTGAACCGCTGCTGTAGAGACAGAAAAAGGAGAGAGGGTGGAGAGAATTTCCTTTTCAATGTTATTCACCTGCAGTATTAATTCTTGGCTCTACAGACAATGTACTTACAGTACACCGATTTTTTATGCGATCAGACATGAAAAGTGCCGCACAATTTTTTTTATTTTTTTTTTGTACGTGGCCACAATCCATTAATCTGCAATTCCGAAATTCGAACGGCTCTGAAATATGAAGTTTTTTGGTGAGCGTCACTTTTTGGGAGTACATGACATGGAAGTTGTCCAAACATACATTGCAACTTGTAATGGCAAATTTATTAATTAAACACGTTCTTATACAATCGGCTGATCATCATGATGAATTTGCAGAATGATAAAGATGCATTAATTATAATGAACTGTATTTACCCAACAAGGAACTCAATAACATGTGCTTCACATTTACTTTATTTGAATTAATTTACATACAGATCCAAACCCAATTATTGTCTTGATAAGTTTTGAGTTTGTAAAATAAAAATTCAATATTTTTAACTTTTTAAAAGCATTGGTCTATTATAAAGCTTCTGATAAATGTTCAGAAGGATTTAGTCATTATTTTTCTCAAAATTTACTTGAGCGGTATCAGTGTACATGATATATGGTCGTAAAACTATTATTAACAAGCATGACGGTCACCTATTTACAATATTTCCTTAGTTGCTACACTCCAGTATTTACAAATGGGTGCTTGCACCACTGCTTAATTTTCATTGACAATGTTATCGATCGTCGCAACATTTTGAGTTTCCGTTGGGGGCGGAACATCTTGCAGTTGAATCTGCTGGAGCACTGCCATAGTTTTCATAAGTTCAGACTGGAAGAGCAGCATCGCCTCCTGGTAGTAATAATGAAATACATTGACACCATGAATACTCTGCTAGTGTTTCACATGTATACATACAATAATATATATATGACATATATATATATATTATATATTATATATATATATAATCAAAGAGCTAATAATAGCCAACAAAAGGCAAGCTGTAAATGGTCAAAGAATTAGCTCAGCGACCACACCGCCATCGCGAATGCGCAAGTTGTTAGTAGCTGGCGTTTGGTTTCAAGTGGGCGGTTTTACACATTCAGTTGCTGGGCAACATAATGGAAAATCGTGAGTCGTACGTTTAGTAACTCGTGTGATCTCCGATGTAGGACGAGGTAGTTTACGAGGAAACATTTCTCGCACGATGCCTAGAGGCGAATGTACTGTGTACGTGATATGAAGCTCAGCTGGTTGAGTTACACTTACTAGTAAATCTAGGTGATTCTAAGGCTAGTAAAATGGACGAAATTTCCCCTGTTTTTATTGAAGTCACACTCCTTCCTATTTCTGAGCTTCTCTGTCACACCTATAGTGGGGTATAGTATAGATACGCTTAACTAAGGTAAACTCTTTATAAGTGGCATTTCAATTCGTGTGTATAGAAAAGCTTATTGCCAACAATAACGTAATGGATGATCTGGAAACAGTCCAGCTTACGGCATAGATATACCAGGGTTAAAAATAAGCGATGGTCCGGGCCATGCAAAATAATCAGGAGGGCCATCAGATCTTTCCGAGACAGACCAAATGAATATTTCTTGTCCAATTTTTACGAGGTAATTTCTCTGAAGTTTTCCACGTTCCGAAATATACATTTAAAGATGCAATAAACAATTACTGTATCGTTTTGTATAACATTCAATTGTAATGTAGGGACTCGTTGTAATAATGTAAACCATTATATACTACACCTTATGTAACAATATCTTTCCTATATGGCTCTGACAACGCCGCGTAGACTTTATAAAGAAAACAGATTGAAAATTTACAGGTACAGCGTGAAATTTCAACTAGTATGGTCATTGTTGGACCATCTCTTTTTTCTCCTTAATTTCTACCCCTGTAATTAGGTCACCAGCGCGAAAAGGGGTCACTATGTAAGAATATGGCCCGAGGCGCAGCCTATAGGAAAGTACATGATTAATGTAAAAAAACTTCCAGATGCGTTATAATTTCGGTTTTTGTCATTAACAGACATAACAGTGGCGCACAATATCCCAAATGACCGCACACAATCTATTTGTCATTGTCTCTAGTAAAACGAAAAAACAAGCACCTACTGAAATTGAGAGGTACGAGTAGTGAGAGAGGAATTCATGAATCAAAAAACAGCTCAAACCAGTCCTATCCTCCTACAAATAGTAATAAATAGGGTCAGGTGTTATACCCTCTATTTCTATCTGATCTCAAATATGGCAGCGGGACTTTTCGATATGCACACTTTGAACGGGGGTGAGAATACGGGTATTTGTCTGGGACCGTCCGGGATTGGCCACATTTAAAATTTACCTGGGAACTGGACAATGTCAGATAAATTTTTCGTGATTCGGAATAGAGAGAGATGTAGTCGAGCGGTGGTAACACACTCTAAATTGTCTGGGATCTGGAAAAGTGCGAGATTCGTCGGTATGCTCAATGTCAGCGCATATATTTTTTAAATAATTTTTCTTTTTGTAATTTTTTTTAATAATTATGGCCAGAAAAATATAAAGAGCGTAATCGTAAATATTAGTATTATATGTAGAATGTTGAAACCCTAAAACTATCTGAATGTCCTGAAGAACATTGTCTGAGCGAATTAATTTTCCTGAGGAAACTGTGGGAGATTGGGCTATTTATTTATAACTGCGAAACTGATAGCTGGGTGTTTATTGCTGAGGAAAATAAGGTTCGGATATGTACCCCCCCCCCGTTCCCCCCCCTCCCTTATACAAATTAGTTGATAATTATCTATATGGTATTCGTGCAGATCTATCTAGGTTAATTTTGACTCAACCGTGAAGATTGAAAACGTACAGCTGGTGTTAGTGCAATTTATTTGAATACACGAGATTCGTTAACATATGCTGATGGACACTGGTACCAGAATAGTGTTTTACTGTAAACAGTTCATTAAATCAGCACGGATAGATGGTAACCATTCAAACTAGGGGAAAAATTTCTTTTTTTTCACGGAAGCTCTTTTTCAAGTCTGTGGGAAAAATAGCTCTCGTCAAAAATTTTACGGGAGCTATTTTGAGCCTCACGGGAGCGATTTCGGAGGTTTGAAGAGCGAATCGCTCATCGCTCCCGTATATTTTTTACCCAGATTCAAACAATATTTTACAATACACAAAGCTCTGGCAGTACCTTCTGTGTATCTTTGATTGCCTGCACCTCCTTCATAATGCAACTAAACTCCTCCTTAATTCCACTCAGGTGCTGGATAATCTCTGCTTTGCTCAACTGTAACACAAAACAATTTTAAAATAGATGAGAATTAGTCTAGATGACGGTAACATTTATATCACAAGTTAGATAAATAGTAGAAATTTAACACGATTTAACCACTTACTACCCACCTCATGTTAAAGGGAGCTACTTGAAGACCTGTGATAACAACAAAAACAATAATAACAATACTAACACAAGTGCCGCAGAGCGACAGCGCTCACCTGATGGCAGGTGTTCTGATGCTAAACTCACTGGCAAACAAATCAAGAGCCCCCTCCCATCGCCGCGTTCGCTCTCCCTCGTTGTCTCTCTCATTCTTTCTCTTTCGCTCTCTCGCTCTTGCTCTCTCTTCCCTTCATGCTCTCTCTCTCTCTCGCTCGCTCACATTCACTCTCCCTGGTTGTCTCTCTCTCTCTTTGTTTGTCTTTGTCTTTCTCCTTTCTCTCTCTTTCTCTCTCTCTCTCTTTCTCTCTCACTCTTTTGCGTGCTCTCTCTCTTTCTCTCTCCCCCTCTCTCTCTCTCTCTCTCTCTCGCTCTCTCTCTCCCTCTCACTCTATCACTCTCTCTCTCACTCTCACTATCTCTCTCTCTCTCTCTCTTCCTCTCTCTCGCGCTCTCTCTCTCTCTCACTCTCACTCTCTTCCTCTCTCTCGCGCTCTCTCTCTCTCTCACTCTCACTCTCTCTCTCTTCCTCTCTCTCGCTCTCTCTCTCTCACTCTCTTCCCCTCGCTCTCTCCTCCTCTCTCTCTCGATTTCTCTCTTTCTCGAGGCAGTAGCGCTGCCGGACGAGGCTTTGTCTAATGGTCTTCTAACCCTAGCAAGACCGTTTCGTGGAGCTAGCAAGGCGGTAACGTTTTTATATAACTTCACATAAATGTTTATACTATATGTTAATTCGGGTGGCACTCCGGCAGCCCATGTTTATACTATGCAAACTCGGGTTTCCCAGCAGTGGCCAACGATGGTAGAAAATTATGAAAAATTGCTCTAAAAAGCTGCTTGTCCCACGGACAAGCTACCGGACAGATCTACTTGTCCTCCGTGGAAATGGACAAGTACGGACAAACGGATAGCCCTTATTTCGAATACCGGGATGGTATCTGGAACCTTCTCGAAGAAATGTTCGTTGGGATCATTATGAAAGTTGCCACGAGATGGTGCGTACGTTTGAGTGTCTTAAGATTAAGGATGGAGGCTCCCATCGTACGTAGTATAGCAACAACTATTTGCAAGACAGAATAGGTAAGCACTCATCAATTTACCTATGCAAGCCTACAGGCTGAAATAGAGAGCTGCCACCTGTAACTAATTAACGCAGGCAAAAACTACACCGTACTACTACTATCACCACCACATGCACTGGCAGTGGCCACTGGCAGTGGCATAAGTTACATGTAACACACTTACAGAATGCCATAGAAATTATACGATTTTAGGAGAATAAACCTTCAACCAAATTTAGCTTTTGAAATTTCACTGTGACATTGTAGCCTCATACATCCAGGCATGTATAGATTCTACTAGCAAACCCGGCAGTCAAATTCTTTCTAACAGTAAACAAATCCATGTTTAACCCTCCTCTTGATGGTCAAAAGATTATCCGACACTTACTCTTCGCATGTCAGCAGAAAGTACATTTCATGGTCCTTTCAATAAAGCCATAAAAATGCTAGGTCACCGCTGAAACAAAAATGTTTTTCAATCGCTCCGTCAGACCATGGTTTTTCAATCGCCTCATCAGACCATGCGCTCAAAAAATGTCGAAAATCTGCCCTGTGCCCCATTGACCTTTGACCTCCAATTTCGGCACAGTGATGGCTTTTCCTACCATGATGCTGTACACCGACTATCACAAGCCTAGGTCAAGCCGTTTAGATTTGTGCCGCAATTCCTCCCTATACCCTAACTTAAGAAGGGAATGTTCCCCCTTCTTTTACACCTCTTGACCTTTGACCCCAGCTTCGACATCCCAACTCGTTTTCGGATTATCCCCCCCCCCACCACCACCACCACCACCACCACACGTCCCAAATATCGTGACCGTACGTCGAGCCGTTTAGATTTGTGCCCAACTGTTGACGGACGGACGCACGGTCGGACGGAAGTCGGTCTACAAGCTGCATCTGACTATTGTCAGATGAGCTAAAAATGTCATAAATACATGCTGCGATATGTAATAGGTAGGCCTAACTATGTTATGCACCTGGGGTTGCTGTGACGTGTTTCCACTGGTACCACTGGAGAAGGAAGCTGCATTACTCTCTGTCTCGTAGTCAGCATTGGCACTAGACATTGACGTCTCTGTAGTAGAAACTAACTCGTGACATTTTCCCAATCGAGTTTCTAGTTCTTCCACCTGTAGATACAAGATAATAAGTGTAGGCGATCAAGAAGCTGGTTGCAATGATAACAAATATTGGTTACGACTTACGTATTGTTACGGCAAGAGGTAGTGTGCCGATAAGGTTTATATGGAGGTAAAATTCGGAGTGATTTTAATAATCATACTAGCGAAAGTCGTGCATAAACACATAATGTACTCTATTTTTTTATTTTTTTTTATTTATTTATTAATTTAAAGACAGTACATTGGTAACAGATATGTCAACATAGAGCTTGCGAGCTCCTCACTGTCAGTGCTGTTAGTCTAACAAAGAAACAAGCAACAGTACTAGGCCAGCTAGCCTAGGTACCCCTTACTAAAATTAAATCGTGCACACTATGTTATAACATTGTACAAGCAAACTTTGTACATAAAAAAAATCATATCAACTTGTGAGGGACACTGACGTATTCGTACAAGAAATACAAGTACTAAAACATAAAAGCAACAATCACACAAAGATACTAAAATTACGAGTCATTTTAGAGTTGATGATTCATATCAGTCCAGGTTATTTTGTGTGTGGGTTGGTGGTGGTGGTGGTGGTGTGTGTGTGGGGGGGGAGGGGGGTCAGCGGCACATCGCACATCAATAGGATGGCCCTGACCATGATCTTAGAAGCGCCTTCAAGGTTTTTAGGTCTGTAGCCTGACGGATGTTGGGGGGTAGATTGTTCCATAGCCAGGCACCGTGGTACCGAAAAGATTTCTTGCAATGAGTTATTGAATTATAGTCGGGAAGCGCAAGAGTTTTTACTTCGGAGGTTGTAGGGGGTGCATGCAGACCTGCCAACCTGTGATTCATGAAAATAGTAAGGCTTTTTTTTTTGCAGCAGGCAGCCATTTTGTTTGTATGTTATGCGCGCAATGAATGATGGGACTAACTCTAGATCACGCGAGAACAACGTGAACGCGTGATCCAATATGGCTGCGCCCACAATCGCCAGATATTTCTCGGCTCACAATGTAAAAAACATTAATTTTCGCAAGTCGTAAAAAATCGTAAGTTATATTCAGTTTGATCGTACATTCGTAGAAACATCATGGAATTCGAAGGAATACGAAAAAATCGTAAGGGTTGGCAGGTATGTGCATGAGTATTTGAAAAGACTTTATATAGGTTGGGCTTTGACCGTGTATGGCATTGTATACCTCTGTGGTGACTCTAGTGACTAGTCTCTACTGGCATGATGATGTTAGCACGGTTCATTCATACTCTAGGTCCCCAGGCTTTAACGAGAAGCTTAGAATTAGGGTTAGGGACCAGTCAGATTATAAAAATTTCTGGGGAACAAGACACATACATTGGCTACGCAACAGGCGACAACTGCGTCGCGGGTCGGGCCTACGAGTTTAGTAACTCACTAACGCTGAGAGGGTTTATGTCAGCCAGGGTACTGCCGGAACGTAGCCTGGGTACGGTCTGGTATACCGGAACGTACCCTGGTACTATCTAATATGCCGGACCGTACCTCGCCTACTCCACTAACGAGTCTAAGGAGTCGCCTACGCCTACTACCTAACCATAATCCTAAGCCTATATTACCCTAACCAATAGTTACCAGGGTACGTTCAGGCAGTACCCTGAGGGGCATAGACCCTATGAGACTCACTAACTGTACTATGTACAGTACTGTGAGTACACTTGTCCGCAAATGCAGACGTTATAACTACGCTTTGCTAATCTTAGGGTGCGGGTTTATCCCCATTACTGGGGTCTGCGTCGGCTCGGACACTATTCACTAGCCTAATGAAGTAATGATAATCATTCACGGGAGCGAAGGGCACGTTAGTAAAATAGCAATTAGATTGGGTAGCTGTAGGTTGTTCGTCTAGTATATAGTCAACTATAGCCGACAGTCGCGTCATTTATGCATAATATGTACTTTTCTATGATCCTTCTCTGCCATATATTTGCGTTGACAGAAAATTAGAAGTAAGGAAATCCGGGTGGCATTTTGCCAGCTGCTGAATTGAATTCGCGCCACCTGTCGGACAATTTGTTAATTTTTTTATTTTTGTTCCATCTGGTCTACTTATCCCATAGAAATAATATAGATAACCTAGGTTATCTATATTATTTCTATGACCTATCCGCATGGGGCAGAAGTGAAGACCCTGAACACCGTTCAATGAGAAACCTCATTTGTCCAACACATGAAAAAAACTCGTCCCAGTTGAAATGAATGAATGCATGCTTGCTAGCTTTACCGTGGCAATTCTTCGCTTCGGCGAATCCACGTACATATCCCACGTGCCACAAATAGAACCCGTGCTACTTAGATCATATCAGGAGTAGATAATAGAAGATCTTCTATTATCTACTCCTGATCATATGGACGTCTAGTGTAGTGAGATCTTATAGGTGTAAATGCATGAAGCTCAAATAAACGTAATCCATAGTAGAAAAAATAACTCCAGCCCCATTTTATCTTACACGAGCGTTATTTCTTGAAACCCGTCATCATTACTCATTTAGCTGACGAATTTTCGCCCACCTCCACATAAAATTTGTTTGTGTTACGTCTCTGACGTAGGGTCCAATGGCTATGCGTGCTCACCACCTATACGCAGGGCCGTAGCTAGCAGGGGGAAAGAGGGGCAGCTGCCCACCGCCCAAAAAAGAACCCAGTGAAGAATAATGGGAACTTAAGATTAGAAAATACACGCTTAACCGTTTGGGGAGTTTTAGGTATGTAACCTACCTGAAGTGGCTGGAAATGGCATTTCAGAGCTTCTATATTTCAAAATTTCCGAGGGGGCATACCCCCTGACCCCCCAGAAGCGAGCGCTTCGGGCGTTCGTTCATCTTGTCCCCCCTCCAATACAATAATTCCTAGCTACCGCCCTGATACGCTATATGACCGTATGTTTTCGACTGACGACGATGAGCAAATATAACCGTTCGAGAACTTGAGACATAGTCAACACGCGTGGGCGAAAAACCATCCAGACAAGCATATAAACGCTAAATATCTCGATACGTGGCAGGTGATATTTTTCTGTTGCAGAAAAGTACCTGGATGTTATATATATGAATAGTAAAGGCCCATAATGATTTCCTCCAGTTGCTATGGGCCAGGCTAAGTTAATTTGAACGTACTATAGGCAAGCGTTTTAGCTGGCACTGTTAAATATGTAGCTAATATGTGAAAATCAATGCACAAAATATTCTCTTGCTGGTATGGCTGCGTTTTGTTATGGCGGTGATGTTTGACCCACGCGGAGAGCGACCGAGTAAAACAAAATGTATAAAATATTATATATATATATATCAGGAGTTGATAATGACAACATTTTGTCATTATTAAATCCTGATATATATATATATTTATTTATAGCCTAGCGCCGATAAAATGTTATGTGCGAAGTGTCTGACTACGCCTCTGCGCTTTATCATTTCAAGAGTGAACAAAATCAAACTTGGTTTATATTCACCCCTGATCTTATCACGCGACACGTACATCCATTGATAATGTAAATATTTGGTGCATTTTACCGCGTCACGGATACATCGATCTTGTCCTTGAACATTTGTGTAAAGGGGGGGATGGATATTTTCGGGACCCGGGATTAAACCATTTTAATTATCTGGAAACCAATACATACCACATTAATTTTTAGTAATCAGATTTTTCATGATATAAAAAAGGAATTGTGATTTTATTTAACTTGAAACTGGGAAACGGCATATATTTTACTTAGGACACTGGAAATATTCCATCCCACCCCCATTCTTTCCTTACCCATCCTCTTGTATGGTAATTAGGTCCATATTCTAGGAACCAATGAGCTAAATATAACCTGTTATATTGCGAGGAACTAACTATCACAGGGTGGCCATGTGCGTAGGAAGTATGAGAATATATAAGAGCAGTTGTCGATACATTATTGGTTCCAACGGCGCTACTCTTTTTCAACGGCGTTAAACTCTTGTCACGTCATATATGACTTGTTCACATCAGCCAGCTAGGAATACAGAAAAGTGGGAGGGAAAGGAGAGCTTAGAAATACAGGTATGTATGCTAATAACACATATTGACTCTGTATATACTCTATTCTATGTGTCCTCTTTAGTTTTACAGTGGAGCCGGTCTTCGCCTCGCCACGTGTCTGTACACACTCACGCGCGCGCACACACGTGCGCTCGCACACACATGCACACGCGCGAGCGCGCACGCACATACACGCACACACACGCGCACGCACGCACGCACGCACGCACACCCACACACGCGCGCACGCACACACACACACCGCGCCCTGGTCACGCCCCCACCCACAGCAGGTTGGTAGTAGAGGCTATTCACAGGTAGAGCGAGGAGATTGTAGACTATATAGTGCTGGAGCCAACCTGAAGTTCTTTGCCTGTGTACGTGTGTACGTGTGTAGGCCTACGTGTACGTCTCTCTCCTGCTCACACACGCACGCGCGCGCACACACACACACACACCCTCTCTCTTTCTCTCTCTCTCTCTCGCTCTCTCTCTCTCTCTCTCTCTC